CGTGTGCTCTTCCGATCTCCCCAAAACCCCAAAACCCCGTAAAGATAAATAATCCAACTTAAATTTCGGATATAAAATGCATAATTAAAACATTAATTAGAGCGCTTTATTTAGTTTCTGAAAAAAGGTGCCTCTTATTCTCATACTTCTTTTACACCATCTGCATCTCTGACATATAGTACATTATTGCATCTATTAGAGATTATTTAAAATACTAAATGCTTAAGTTACCTTATCAAAGATTCTCCAATGTTACCTCTGCACTCTCCGTCGATCCACTCTTCAGTGTTGAATAATTGTAAATTCATATATCCATCAAAGGCAATTAGGATACCTTTGTATTCCATACCCCACTTAAGCTTGACAATGACTGGCTTGTCAATAAGATCGATCAAGAAGGGTTTAGGATTAATAGGGATTGGCTAAAAACATTTAAAAGATCTAAATTTGACTTACTTAAGCAGATGCCATTAAAATAATAATTTAATAAAATTTAATAATTTAACTATGAATATACATACTTATAAATTATATCAAAGTATATTAGACGGGTAACAATAAAATCATTAGGTTTAAATAAAATTATATTCACTTGACTCAAGTGATTTTTAAATATAATCTTCTATCTATAGCCAATAATGAACCTTTATCGCTCAAACCATTGCTGGCTTAAGATTTAAGTGATGATCCTGAGAATAAGTCGCTGCTTTTTGCATAAGATCCTGAAAGATTTCTTTATTCTTTGCTTCTTTGACATCGAATTCAGCTATTTCCAGTAAATCTTTTAGAAAATCTCCAACTAATCCATTCATACTATTCTTTATTTCTTAGTCTATTGATAAATCACCAACTCTTTGATTAAACTACTCTGCATGGAATATTGTTAGCATCACAAATTCTTGCTTAACTTTATTTAAGTTCAAAGATTTCATTTAGTACAACATTGCTTCAACTGTTTCAAAACTTATATATTATAGAATAGAACTGACTTTATTCAGATGCTCTTTTATTCGCTCCTTGTTCTAAACAATAAATTAAAGAGTTGGTAATTGACTTACTGATTGATTGATGATCCCACACATTATATAACTGAACACTCCGAATTAGAAAAAATAGCCTAGCTCTAGACCTACTGATTAAGCCATATGAATGTCTTATTGACCAAGATTGTAGATTAAAGCGATACCCCTATAGAATTGATTATAAATTGGCATGAATATTACTTGAAACCTAGCCCAAAAAAAGTTGGTAGATAGTTATAGAAATGCTTGTAAATTTGCTTTAGATTATTTTCAAAGTTGCTGGACAGATTCTCAACATTGAAGATTATTTTTTGAAAATTTTCTTCTATAATGGTGATTATTCTTGTAAGCTCTATATTTCCTAGCCTCGAAGTAATATAATATGCAATAGTGTGGTATTGATCTCCTATTAGAATTGGGAACTTAACATCTAGCCCTTTCATGATTTCACTAGACTTTCCTCTGGCTTTTCCTGATTCACTAAGTCTGATTTACCAATGAGTTAGAAGTCCCTTTATCAAGAAATCAAGACTGATAAGAAAATTTATCAGCTGATCATTTGACTGATTACGATAAAGCCCTTTTGCGAACCATGATAACTTTAAGATTTCACCAGATAGCTTGCTCAGATTAGTGCTGTTCAACAAATTGATCAAAAACTTTTTCTTATCAATAGCCTGAAATATTATAACAATAATGAAATTTATACCTTTAAACTTTCGAAAATAATCTCATTTTCTTTTGTTTATAGCATGCTGTCAAACTGTCTATCCTATTCAATAATTTCATCATGATTATCTCTTTATTTCTCTGTCTCAATCAGGCTTTGATATTGATATCCCTCTTTTGAATACCTCAAAAAGCTATTTTGATAATGAGTGCTGTCCATAGTTACATCCTTTAGAATAAATTCTTCTTATTAAATGGTGACCTCATTTTTATCAACCTGATAACGTGAGATAGCTTCTTGAGTTTAGTGTAATCTAGTCATATTCATCAATGAATAGGGTCTCACTTAGGAGATTAGAATGTAATTTTGATGGTTGTTAAATGCTCTCATTACTGATTTCATTTGAGAGTCATCTTGAATAGACTAATAGGCGTAAAAGAGTGTTCTACGTTTATACTTCCCGATGCACTTTCTAAGCATTTTATATTATTTAGGGCCTTAAATTAATTTATTAACAAATTAACATTCTCTCTCATTTATAATCATAACTAAAGATAATAATTTTATAGGATATAAACTAATAATGGAATCATCATCAATACTACAAGAGATCGATGCTAAGGCAAAATAAAAAAAGCTTTTTGAAAGTTTTGATAACTTGAGTATTGATAAATATATAAGAATGATGCTAACAATGAAAACTTAAATAGACAGTTCAAATGAAAATTAGGAAAAACCTTAAAAAGATCTTGCCATTCTCTATAAGAGGTTCAGCTATAATAGTCAAGACATTATCAATCATTTGACCGAGGATTTCACCACTTCATCATGTGAAAGAAGTAAAAAAATAGAGTTTTTGAAGAAATAGATCACAGATTCAGATTAAAGTTTTGAATAATTAGTCAATAGTCTTTCTTAAAGTTTACAAACTCAATACATTCCTATAGTATAATAAGAAACTGGTAATGAAAACAAGACTGCTTTTTCATTTTCTTTTAATCCAAATCAAAATAAACAGCTCAGCTAACCATAGAAATAAGAATCGAATCCAAATTTATATCCTGCTATAGGAGTTGGAATGGTAATTGGTGGCACAGCCTTAGCAGCAGGTACTGGAATTGCATCAACTACATCATCTTTAAGTAGTGGTGGAATATCATATCCTTCATTTAGTAATCTTAGCAATACCTTACCAAGCTCAACTTAAAATCTTCTTTAAAGCAATCAATATCCTGGCTTAACTTAGAGTATGTAATAACCGAATAACTTAAGTTATAGTATGAGTTATAATTAGCACAATCCTCAAGCGACTAATTTTCTCCAGTAGCCCTAGTATAATTAATCTTTTAACTCTACTGGCTAATTCGGTTAGCAATAACTTAATAATGGTTACAATCATACTTTTCAACAGCAATAATAGCTCCTTCCTTAGAATTATAGTTAATCATTTCAGCAGCCTCAACAATATGTTTAAAATTATAATCCTAACTATGCTAATCAATCTTTTTACTAAACCTAGTAGTATCCTTAGTAAAATGTCTAATTAAATCAGACGATGTCAAATTAATCTAATTTCTCAAGACAATCTACAGTATCTTCAACATAGCAGACTCTTAACAATTAGCAACAACAATAATATTAATATCCACCTTAATAAAATCAACCTATAACTCTTTCCCCAGATGCAGGCAATAATGTTTAATAACAACCAAAAGTGATTTAAAACAATTAAATAACTTTGAAAAATCTAAATCAAAAGGGTTAATTGAGAACCATATATTGCCCATATGAAATTATTGAAGCTTTTATCACAATAGCTTAATCTAATACTTAAAGAAAACTTGAGACATGCGCTATTCTAGCTGGAAGTGAGAGGAATGGAGCCTTAATTATTGATACTTTAATAGTGCCAACATAAGAAGGTCATACAGATCACTGCTTTATGACAGATGAAATATAGCTATTTGAAGCATAAATGGCTCACAAAGTCATGACTCTTGGCTGGATTCATACTCACCCCTAATATGTAATAATTTTCAAATTTATCATATTTTTAGAGCTTATTTCTGAGTTCTGTTGATGTACACAATCAAATGGGCTATTAACTGCAAATGCCTGAGGCAGTAGCTATTGTCTATTCACCGATTGAGAGTGCAAGATATAAAACTTTCAGAGTTAAGGATAATAGAGTACCCGAGATTCAGAAATGCACTAGATCAGGGTTCCATGAGCATAAAGATCAATATGGACAGCCAGCATTCGAAGAGTGTTCCCATATTAGATATATCAAAGCATCAGAAAACAATATAAGAGTAAAAACAGTTGACTTAAGATGAGTTAGCTGTAAAGGATATCGTTAATAATTTTATGAGTAAAAGTATTAAATTAGATTTATAAATCTTAATACAAAGAACTATAATTACTAACTAATCATATTTCAATTTTGATAAATTAATTGGGCTAGAATTTCAAACTCCGGTCCTACCTCATCTAAATCCCATTATATTACTATTCTGTTAATTTCCCTCTGTATATACACCAATTAGTTCATTGAATCCTAAGTCGTTCCATTCCCTTACTTCTGTTATAGGCATTCTTTATTGAGCTTCTTCATCACCAGAATCCAAATTTAATTTTGCTTAAACAGTTTTGGTTGATAGTATAATGTCTAGATCAGTGAATTTTTCTTTTCTCCAGTCATCGTCTATTATCATCGATAGAGTTGGTCTTGAGCTACGAAATTTAGAGTAAAATTAATTTTATTTACAGCGTAGAAACGAATGAGTATTGAATATCTCTTTTTTATGTATTGTTCATAAACCCTTTTTATCTCTCTCTGAATTTGATATTTATATTTTTAAATTATTAGCGGATTTATAAATTTAAATTTAAAAATGAACAATTAAGATCAAGCCGCATTTAACAATGGCTTGAATTAGTAAGATATGACTGTAAGTTATAAAATGTTCCATTCTTATGTTAATAAACTTATAGTACTACAATCCTTCAATCATTTAATAAAATTCCATGAATAATCTGAACGTTGATGGAGCTCTTAGTATGAATTATGGAGCTGATCTAAATGGATTAGGTGGCTCACCTCCACCCCTATAAAATAATCTGAACTAATTCGGTGATGAAAACTAAAATCCAAATATGCAATCTCCTCTAAGGAATCCAGTCCCAGATGCTATTTTATCTCCTAAATCAGAGGTAAAGAGCTAGACAAGTGTAAATGATAACAAAGCCAAGGAATATGATAGTATTGGAAATCTTGTTAGCATGGAGAGATCTTAACTTTTCACTAATAATGATCGATTTGTACTGGAACAATAAAAAATGGTAAATAATTTAATGCTTATTCATTGTAGGATCCATTGAGAGCAGGAGGAGGCCTAATGGGCACATCATTAATAACATTAGATGAGAAGGTTAATCTTCTGAACCTTGAAAAAGGCAAAACCTTGACGAATGATCAAATGCTTCAAAAACTCAGAATTGATGGTGTGTATGTCAGAGATCCTTAAGTTCACCAGAAGTTCACAGATATCAACGTGCAAAAATTAGAAGAAAGGATCTTAAGAGAAATGCCTTATGTTGGGAAAATTGAAAAAGGATATTTTTGGCCTGGCCCTGATGGCTAGAGAAGCACCTAGTATTTTAAAATGAATGGAGAAATCAAATTACACAATGATCTCTTGGCTGATGAAATCACCAGACCTTCAGATCTGGCTTTTGAAACGACAGAGGCATACTAAACTAAAGAAGTAAACTCTATCCTTTGCAATAGACTGCACTCATTCAAGAAAAGGTACTATCGTTTAGATATAGTAGTTGGTAAAATCTGCTTATTAAAATATCCTCAATTTTTCTCACTTGAAGACAAGTTAGCTATTGAACTTAGAGAACTGTATAAAGAGTATGAGAGAAGAACTTCATTAGCCATGATTCCATTTTATATTGATAGACTTAAATTCATTGAAGAGGAGTAGTATAGAAAATAGAGAAACTAGCTTACTCCTTTAGAAGAACTGGAGTTCCTGAGATCTAATGTCGATGAAACTAGAAGAAAGCTCGATTAAGAGAAAAGAGAAGTTCAAGACATGGCATAGAAGTTATATGCTAAATGGAGAGAAATTAAAGATGAGAGGGAGAAAAATGGGTTCTCTAGCACAAACGTGAAAATGAAGATTCATAAAAGCTAGCAAATGAATACTATTGGTGATAATATTGTTGGTGATAGTAATGGAGAATTCTACTTCAATTTAATGCATGAAGAGCCTTCTGGCAAAAAATATAATGGTTCAAGTTTACCCTCAAGTGAAGTCTCAAGAAGAAATAATGCTATGAGAGTGAGGGCCTATATGAGACTTATTATCAATGGGAAATATGTATCAAGAACTAGAAAAGCATTTGTTAAGTGGCCAAACTTTGAAATAGAAATTGGTGAATAATTCCAAGTTTGCGTATTTACAATGCCAAGTTCAATCTAATTAGAACTTGTTATTGGAACATTCAAAGAATAATTAGTAGATGTTATTGATATTGAAGTTCCAGGTACATACGTCAAAGCACTTACTTCTGCTGCTTCTTTGGTTAAAGAACTTGTTTTTTCAAAATTATCTTATGAGAAAAGAAAGATGAAATTAGGATAAAATTTTGATCTCTTGAGCTCTAATGTTGGTATTATGACTGATAAAGAGAAATTGAAGTTTGAGGACATGAAGAAAAAGAAAGTGGAACTAGAGAAAAGAGCTGAACTAGCTGATATAAATGGGTGCATGTATATCAAAGCTGAATGGAAGGGTGAAGGGCCAGAGATGCCTCCAATGAGATCAGAGAACCTGTTTAAAATGAGAAAAGCTGAGAAAGTGAGAATTCCATATACTCTTGAATAACAAGATAGGATGCTTTTAAGATAGCTCTACATTGATGTTAACGATCCAAGAAATGAGAGAATTATTAGATTCCTAAAAGAATTTAGAAACGAAACACTTTAGAAATTGTTAATGGAGGACTCAAAAAATCCATTATTCTAACTTACTCCATTTAGACACATGCTATTGGAGGCAAGAGCAAAGGATCCTGAACTAGCTAAAACTATAATACCTTTACTAGAAAGAGAGATAATCGAAGACACAGATCTTTTGGATAAATTGGAAATTCTAAATAGAGAGAAAGCATATAGAACTTATCTCTAAAAGAAGGCAGAAGAAGAAAGATTAGAAAACCTAAACAGCAGAGACGACTCTAAAAAGGTTTATATAATGGAAAATGAGGAAAACGCTCTTTAGTTCGATGCTGAATGTATCAGAAGAAGACAAGTATTCTTTGATTTACAAAAGCAGTATTAAAGAGAAATAAAAGCTGGACATTAGAAAGCGTCTACTCAATATAAAAGTGTCGTGAGAGAGTTTGAGCTACTTGAATCAGAGAATCCTCTAGTGGCTCTTTTTAATAAACTTTTCATTACAAGTAGAAAACTTAGACCTGTTGTCTAAAAGAGACAGCCAGTTGCTCTAGACTCTTGCAAAGAAGCGAAAATAATGATTCATGTCATCAAAGGTTTCAATGTTCCTATAAGAAACTCTGCTAAGTAAAAGATTGTTAGCTCTTTCTAACATGGTAACCAAGGTGATCAATAAAATTTTAGAGGAGCTGGGCCTTATCCATCTTCTATGAATAATTACGATAGAAGTTAGATTATAATGCAAGGAACTTAAGGTAGTTTTTTACCAGCAATGCAAAATCAATATGATCCAAGATCGTCATTTGGAGGCAGACCAAGTTTGGGATAATATGGTAACAATAATATGGCTATGTATAATAATCCCGCAGCCAGCAGAATGTAAGGCATACCTTTCAATTAGCCAGAACCTATTTAAAGAAATGGCAATAGCTAAAACTTAGATCTCAGAAATCTAGATGAAATTACCAAGAGATCAGTGTACAGAACTCAAAGAGTAGAGTCATTTGTCGAAGTAAGAATTGTGTATCCCGATGGATTTGAATAATCAAAAATTACTTTAATCGCTGAGGGAGATTTTCCTGAATGGAATGATATCCTTAATTTCAACTTGGTCTCTAGAAGAGGCAAATTTTCAAAGCAAGAACTTGTAAATACAACTGTAATGATTTATGTGACTCTATTTGATCGAGAAATGGATATTTAGCAAAATGAAAAGATGGAGTTGCAATTTTCATACAGATATTTAGGATCATTCTCAATTCCACTGATAGCAATCCTGAACAATCCTCCAAAGATTGATGCAATTTTCAAAGTAAACAGACCCTTGGCTTTATTTAACTATCATGTCGAGCCTAACTCATTCTTTTTCTTAAACCCAGATGATAAAATGTTCAAGCAAAAATAAGCTGTACCTAATACCTATATATCCATGTCAGTATCACTTGACCCAGTGCTTGAGCTTCCAATCGATAATGAACTTGAGTATTATCCTGGAAAAGAGTCATCAACACTATTGATCAATTTAATTGAATGGACTAAATTATTAAAAAAGAAGAAAGCTTTTGAACGAAGACACATCAAATGTCTAGGAGAAAATATCAATGGATATAGTGTTCTCTTATGCAGATATCTCACTGATTAAGCACCTCCAGATAAATTATTTGAGCTAGATTTAGGAGTAAAACGAGCAGACAGCAATAATACTGAGATTGAGAAGGCAGCTAGATATGTTTCTTTAATTCCAGTAATTGAGGATAATTAAGCATTCATTGAGATGCCAGATTTATTCTGTACTTCATAGGAGTTTTTAGATCTTGGAGCTGGGGATTATGAGGAGCATGCTATTCTATTATGCAATTACTTTAATTATATTGACAAATTCTTTGGAAGAATCAATGTCAAGTCTTATTTAGTACTTGGAACTGGATTCCCAGAAGGCAGAACAGCATATGTAATGAGAAGAGATTGCACATCGAATCATATTGAGCTTTGGAACCCTATTAAAGGAGAAGCTTATTATTACGGGAGAACAGAAATAAAGGAAAGCTTTGGTTGCTTGAGTATTTCCAAAGGTTTTAAAAATGACAAAAATCCAAATGATGCCCTCTGCTAATTGAGGAGTATTGGCACTGTGATTAGTTAGGACAATATATGGGTAAACGTGCAGAAGTATGAAGATCCAGGTCTTCTTAACTTCAATTTGGAGAACACCTCTCTGTGGAAGCCCTTCTTTACTAAATCTAACTTCAAGAAATATTTTCCTCTAGAGAAGATTACTACCATTTAGCAAGAGCCTATTCAATATATGAAGAGTATGAACATAGAAAGAGTTGATGTAATCTCTCAAAAGGTCAAAAACTACATTTGCGAAAAATTTGAAAGTCAAAGAATTAATCTCGAGATTAATGGCAAGCCTAAGTAGATGAGAACAAGATGGAACAATTCAATGGACTCCACTTTAGATGATATACTGAGAAGACTAGAGCTAAAGAGACTAACCACAAGATTGGGAGCTAGTAACTCAGATGTAGGAGATGGTAAGCCAAAAGATAAAATAGATGATCTTGAATCTAAAATTGGAACCGTTCAAAGCGATATTGAAAAGAATGCTCTAGGCTTCAAAATTTGGGGATTCCCAATTAATGTAACATTTATCTCACTGCCATTACTCTGGGAAGAGGTTAAAAACACTAAGATTCACATGATTGATGATGATGAAGCAGAGTTTGCGATTTAAGTTCACATAGCTGCTTATCCTCATAATGTACTCTCTGTATGGTTCTTTATATTGGCCTTAACAAAGAATAAGTGAGATTTTAATATGCGTGTTTACTTTAATATAAGAGTAATTAATCATTAATTATCAACCAATGCTCCAAATATACTATATTTCAATGAAAGATCTCTGATTTTATTTCCTTCAAATAATGAATCACCATAGTATAAACCGAAACCATTAATCTCTGAAACTGGCTTTTCTTTGAAAACATTTCCCCAAACCATAAGCTTGTTCTCTTTGTTGAGGACTACGTAATGCTTTCTTCCACAACTAAGTTGCTTTACATCTTCCTTTTTGAATTCTTCGTTGAAAATATCAACATATTTAGCTTAATAATCAAGTTTCATACCAAGTTTATAAATGTTATCTTCTAAGTCTTAAATAATCATTGTGTTTTAACCAGGATGGAAATCCTTGACCAAATGAGACTTGTCTTTGTTGTCAATAACATTAATTGCTACTGGCACATTTTCTGATTCAATCATGTCAATGCCAATACTGTTTCCAGTTCCTAGTTGCCCTCTATCATTTTTACCCCAAACATACAGTTAGCCATCACTCATCAAAGCTGCAGAGTATTCATCAGCTGAATCGATTTTCATTATTTTAATATCGGGATTAGTTTCTTTCATCATTCTAAACTCATCATTCAACATAGGAATAAGACTGTATTAGTTACTTGCATTTCCCAATACTCCGAATTATCCTCTTCCCCAAGTATAGAGATCCCCAGTGGTTGAAATAGCGATAGTGTGGTAGAGACCTGCTACAATCTTTTATATCTTAATTCCATGTTGATCGAAAAAATCTACTCTCTTTGGATAGAAATGATGCTTTTTATCGCCGTGACCTAGTGCTCCTACTTCTTGAGTTATCATCCAATTGAATAAAGTGGCTTTACCACCATAGCCCCAAGTATAAACTTCTCCTTCAGAGGTGAGAGCAACTGTGTGATATTCACCTAGAGCGACATCTACTATCTTTTTATTTTTCTTATCGAAATACTCAACCATCTATGGACTATCAAAGCGAACATCTTTTTCAGATCCATGACCTAAAGGACCCCAGTTACCACTTCCGAAGGTGTACAACTTTCCATCATCTGTAAAGATATTAAATGAAAAGTTTTATGATATTACTTGAGATAGCTGCTGAGTGTCTTAGGCCAACATGAAGCTTTTTAACATTCAATTTATCAAAGGACTGAATTTTGGTAGGCACACCTTTAGGGATAGACAGTTGTTGTTTTATCTCTGTGGCCTTTGGTCCAAGTCTGGGCATTATAGTCCATAGATATACTGATGTACCAAAGCCTCTTCTATTCATGTATGTTAAAGTTTTCATCTTAACTTCTACAATTTTATTATAATAATTCAGTCCTCATTCATGAGTAGTAGTTTATATTTAAAAAATGACAATAAATAAAGAATTGAAAGCTAAAAATTAAATATTAATTCAAGAAGTTTCCAGAAATATTAAATATGGCATCAACCACGTACAAATTTAAGTGGCTCTTAAAATTTTGTATATAGATTATTCCCTGATATGAAATGGGCTCAAAGAAAGGACAGAGTTTTCATCACTATTGAACTAGCTGACTTCGAGAATCAAAAGATTGAGCTTACCCCTGAAGGTCAACTTAAATTCTAGTAATACATATTCTTGTTTTAATGTTTTATGACTTAGAGCTGATTCACACAATAATGTCTATGCTTTCGATCTCGGACTCTTCGACTAAGTTGATGTAGAGTAAAGCAAATGGAACACTAAGGGTAGAAATATCATTCTCAATATTTCAAAGAAAAACACTGATACAGATCACTGGCCAAGATTAACTAAGGAGAAGACTAAGAATGCTCACATCCAGATCGATTGGTCCAAGTGGGTAGATGAAGATGAGGAAGATGAAGCCAAACCAGTTGGTGATGATTTCGATGGTGATAACATGAACAACTTCAACATGGGAGGCTATGGTGAAGGTGACTCTGATGATGAAGAGGAGGAAGAAGAGACTAAAGAAAACCAAGAACATGTTCATGGAGAGAATTGCAACCATGATCATGATCATGGCCACGACCATGAACACCATGCTCACACCGAGGATAAGAAAACTGGTGCTGATCTTGGAGATCTTGACGCTGATGTTGAAGAGCCACCCAAATGAAGACTTGATTGATTAGTATGTTCTTTAGTTATTGTTTCTAAATCCAGTTCTACTATCGAAAAATTTCTTTATTACTTAAATTTATATCTTTCGACATATCATTTCTCTAATAGAATTAATCATGGGGTTTTGGGGTTTTGGGGTTTTGGGGTTTTGGGG